GCTGTGATTGTGGAGGTTGGTTTTCAGCTGTCCAAACATCCTCTCAATTACACAATCACAACACACACACACACACACACACACACACACACACACACACACACACACACACACACACACTGCATTCTCTCTCTCTGACTTTATCAGAAGCAGGTTAAGTGTAACATGAACAGTAAATGTTTGACTGTGTTGGTCCGACATCACTGTTCTGTGATTGTGTGTGTGTGTGTGTGTGTGTGTGTGTGCCTGTGTGTGTGTGCCTGTGTGTGTGTGCCTGTGTGTGTGTGACTCGTTTTGAGTGTCTCAGAAACACATCTGACTTCAGTTAGTGAATTGACTTGCATTTCAGTCACTGACACACAAACGCAAATGAGCACATGCACACACTCACACACACTCTCTCCTACACACACTCATTCAGTCTGACACACGAGCACGCTTCACACATGTTTCACATATGTTTTAGTGTGGATTCCTGTGGTGTGACATCACTGTGCTCAAGTTGACGTGTGTGTGTGTGTGTGTGTGTGTATGTGTGTGTGTGTGCAGGCGCTGTGCATTAACGTTCAGTCCAGTGATGTGTGTGAGACGCTGGCGCTGGTGTTCTGCGGTGCGGATGTGAGCTGTGACACCGGCGACCCTGATCTGACCTCTCCAATCGCCCTCGCACAACACCACGGACAGAACCTGCAGGTGGAGTTCCTCACGCAGAACCGCAACACAGGTGAGACACACTATTACACACACACACACACACACTATAACATCCTCACATGCACACACACATTACGGTGAAAACACTAATGGCTAATGGACAGACGGCTGCTTCTCACTCATGGCTGCTGATTATGCTAATGAGATGGAGAGATGGGCACTAGTGGGCGGGGCTTTTCCTCTGATGACACGTACAAATGGAGAATGTCAATCAAAGTGTTTCTGCATCAAGTCAGATTAGAACAAACACAGTTAACTCACGTTGATCATCAGAGGCTGGAGGTCTTCACACACTGCTGACACACAGAGTTCTGCATAATAGGGGCTCTTCAACTCACGCCTGTGCTTTTGACCTGCAGAGCTGCCGAGGTCAGAGGTCAAAGTCAACTTCGATACGGTGCACTACATGGCCCCGCCCTCCATCACACATAATGGCTTCCTATTTAAGACCGCCTCCATGGCTCGACCAATCACAGAGAAGAAGGGGAAAGAAGGTGAGCCAATCAGTGACCAGCGCTGGATTTCTGATGCTTTATTTGCTGTTCATCCAGAAACTATAGGATATGACAAGAGGTAAGGGATGAAAGATGATGGGCCATAACTATTAGGCAATAATACACACCGGTGATGTGACCATACTGTGCATTATTGTCTAATAATCCGCCATCCACAGGTGATTTCTGCCCTCCTCCTCTGGTGTCCAGCACTGCTCAATCTACTGTATCTGAGAGAGTGTTAGTCAGGTGTTTTCACCTACCATTGTTGAAGAGTGTGTGGGCTCTATTTTAATGATCTAGTCACAAAGTCTAAAGCAGGGGTCTCAAACTCAATTTACCTGGGGGCCGCAGGAGGCAAAGTCTGGGTGAGGCTGGGATTTCACAAAAAAAAAAGTCCTCAAATGTCATTATTAACAGTTTTAATTATTTCTTCTAAACATGAAGTGTCCTGAACATTAATAGAACATTGAGTGAAGATTATGAACAGTTCTTCTGAACATGGCATCTTTTACTTACTCCTTGCTGCCAGAGACTTGACAGCGCTTCTTCTCACAAATCTGAACCACATTTGGCTTTAGAGCGGAAGCAGTTGAGACCCTCAGTATGGCTTGAAGATGATCATCATTAAGTCTAGACCTGTACTTTGACTTATTGAAGTTCAAGGTGGAGAATAACTTCTCACACAAATATGTGCTCCCAAAAAGGCACATGGTCTGCTTGAACCCCACTCCAGTCACATCAGTCTGTACCAGTCTGTATCTACCTATAATATATATAAGATGCAGGCTGTAGCTAGGTAGGTGGCAGGCTGCAGATAGGTAGCTAAGTGGCAGGCAGGGGCGGGAACAGCTTACCTTGGTTCTGGCCGGCGCAAGTTCCCTCCTAACACTTCCCGCCCGTCACAGCGTCCAACAAAGGGGCGGGGTGCGTGGTGACGTCACCGGCATCCCCAACCCTTTGTTTACACGGCGGGCGGGGAATGCCAGTGACCGCTGTGTACGGATAGAATCAGCTGAGCGGGGAGCGCTCTCTCTCCCCGCTCCGCTGATTCTGTCAGTGTACAGCGGTCGGCGCGGGCCACAAAATATTGCACTGAGGGCTGCAAATGGCCCGCGGGCCGTGAGTTTGAGACCCCTGGTCTAAAGCGTATGGTGCAAAAGCATTAAGGGCGTGTCTGAATCCACTTCTGCTAAGTTAAGGATGGATAAATCCGCTCATGGTCTAACAGGGCTGTGCTGATTCTCTTCATGAGTTCTGGATGTGTTTTGAGCAGAACCTGCATTTAACCAATCAGAGTCTCGTCTCTCATTCCATTGAAGAGTCAGTTGCGTCGCTCCATGGTGCATTTGCTATTTACATGTTAGACTTATGTAAGAGTAAAAACTGAACACTTCACTAGCGAGAAAACAGTTCAACAGAGCATCTGCAGCGCGAGGATAAAGAACGAGCCTCCTCCATTCAGCCTCTTTACTTTACTCCTTTACTTTACTCCTTTACTTTGGTGGAGTGAGGAAACGGTGGAAACCCAAATCCACTGAACACAACCAATAGCCCACATACTGAATCTCCTTTGTTAAGCTCAGAGATTTGTGTCTAAACTATTTCTAAATTCAGTTCTGATCTCCAGCAGAGGAATAAGTGAAAAATAATAATGAAGTGTGCTCAGAAAACTGAGTTATATCCAAACACACGTTGTGCGATCTGACTGGGTAGGGGTGCCAACTTATATATTTATAAGTAAAAAATAAAAAATAATAAGTCAGTGCTACATGGGATACACTAGCAGTGCAATAACCCTAGTAACCCCTTATAGAGCTAAAGACAAAATAAATCACACTAAACCAGTTTAAATTGCATTAATCTATTATTCAATTAGGTCTCCTTACAACCTCAAAATAACACTATATACAGGTTTTACAACAGAAAAAGTTTCAAACCCATTGCAACAAGCATTTGAATAATTCAACAAATCAAAGGCACAAAACAAAATAATAATAATAATAAACCAAATAAAGAGGTACCTCTGTCGACTTGGAATTAACTTGATCTATGCACAAGATTAAACCACTGATTCACATCAATTTGTTAGAACCTTACATTCATTACTGTTAAACAGAAATTCAATATAAACAATTCAAACAGTTCAATGATTCAGTCGGTTCAACATTTCAATGATTCACTCGGGTCAAACAATTTAATGATTCACTTGGTTTAAACAATTCAATGATTCATTCAGTTCTAACTGAGATGCTCAGAGTTCGTCAAATCAATGATTCACTCGGTTTCAATAACTCAGATGTTGTTCCTGTTTTTATCCGCATATGCTGATGCAGACTAGGGTTGTCGCGATACCATTAATTAATCTTACAATACTATACCAGCTGAAGAATCACGATACCAAGTACTGCGATACTGTAATTCATCAGTCAAATTATAAAAACGAGTGTCAGAAATACTATATTTTATGTTATAATAGATCTACTTGAATGTAATTCAGAATTTCTTTAAGGCCAAAAAGTATTATTTGTACGTCACTTTACTAAAAATGTATTCACTCTTTTGTTTATTTTGTAGATAACTGACCAACAGAAATACATTAAAATAAAAATACAAATTATACAGAACGAAATTTGTTGCAAAAGAGCGGTTTCCCAACAAAATCAGGGTAAATGACGTGGTCAGAAGTTGTTTCAGTGTTTTCTGTTGCTGTTTTTGTTTTCAGTCTGATAAGGTAACAATCCAAAGAAATTCAGAAATTTACTTTGTGAGTTGTTCTTTTAAAGAGATTGTGTCGGTCGCTAATAAATCATATTAACATGAACAGAAATGAACCAGCTCAGATGTGCATTCCAACTGAAGCGTTAGAAAGCGTGGAATAGGCTGCTATAAAAGGTGCAAATTCTACACAGTTTTGCAACATAATGGCCCGTTTCCACTGAGTGGTACGGTACGGTTGGGTACGCTTTTATGGCAATTTCCACTGTCAATAAGTGTACCGAACCACTTTTTCGGCACTCTTTCGAAAGGGTACCAAACAAGAGAAAGGGTACCAAAAGGTGGAGCTACACGCGCAGCTGAACGCTGATTGGTTACAGAGATACATCACGAGCTCGTGGAGCTAGACAGAATGTAAACAAAGCATCCGCCATGTTCTAATACACAGCCGAGAGATCACATGCATATACTATAACGAGCCATGAATGACCCGAGCTCAAACAAACCTTGTCGTCGTCTTGATGAACAGACCCAAAGCCAAGAAGAACAAAATCTGCCGTGTGCTGTTGTTGCTTTACGAGCCCGTCTAAAAGTGTGAGCGGTTTCACTTTCTTCCGGAAGCTTGCGGCCGCGTCTATACTTGATATAACGAACTTCTTGAGCTGATGATGATAATGTGTGCGTGATTATTGAAGCGTCTCCGTCATCTGATCCATTCTGAGAAAAAAAGGACAAGTGTGAGAGTGAAGCGCAGAAAAAGAGAATCCCGACAAAACACAGGAGCAAAAGTGTTTCAGCAACCTGAATCATGAACACACTGCCGTGATTATCTTCACCTTTTGGATTATTATGAACTGGGAATGACAGAATGACTCTGTAACAGAGCTGACATGTGCTGCTGAAGATTACACACACAGATGAGAGGTCTGCGCTGACTGTGGGCTATATTGCGTGTGTTTTTGAACTCAAATAAGCACTAAATGTCTGCTGTGTGTAGTGTTTCTGTAATTAATAATATATCGGAGACTGTAAGGGGCTGTGTGTGTTCATATATGTTCATTTATATATTTATTTTACATAATTACAGACGTTACAGTAGCCTATTTCACACTGTCATTGATCTGCAGTTATAATCAACTCATGTTCATAGGAAGGTTAGTAATGAACATTTATAAACAAGTATTTGTGTGTATAAAGCATCTGTTTTGTGAGAAGTGCTGCTCATTATGATATGTGAGCGACCCGTACATCTTTACTGTAGACATTTATTCGAGCGAGCATGACGTCGACTGAAACTTTGTCGTACACCACGCCTGTCGTACACGGCTATTTAAATAAAATGGTTTACTGTTGCACAAACGTGTACTGACTTTTCCACATGCAACATTATCTATTGTAGATAAACCATTGATGACAATACTACCGTTTACAAACTAAAGCAGCACCGCCAGTATTCTGGAGCCAGAGTATCGCCATACTACCATAGTACTGGTAAACCGTGCAACCCCAATGCAGACGTCTCCACAACCCCACAGCTGGACAGATCTACACTTGTGTTTATTAAAGCAGATATAAATCTGCAGATAATCAATAATACTGATCATAATAATCACATTATACTGATGCAGATTGTTATGAATGTGCTGTTTATATTGATGGAGAAAATCATCATTTCTGGATCATTTTAACTGTTTCATCTGTAAAGATGTGTGTGTGTTGCTGATCCTCCTGTGTGTGTTCAGCAGTGTGTGAGTGTTTAGACATGTATAGGTGCATAACTAACACACTGCTGGACTTTAGAGCAGCATTTAGTTGGTCAGTGGTCTATTTCAGCTCCTCAGAATAGCAGCGCTCCAACAATGCGGCTTAACACACCTCCTTTATAGACCCGCACACACGAGTCCACAGAGTGATGAACATGGATTTACTATTTAAACAACGTGACGCTAAACATGAAAATGACTGTAGCGCTGCTCTTAAAGTAACAACAAATCCTGCCAAACACATCTTGAGCCCTATTGTGCCGGGTGTATAATATCGGCCTATTGAGTTAATAGGGAAGTATGTAGTATATAGTAGGGAAGTGTGTGACTTCAGATGCAGCCATTGTGTTTATTATGTGCTATATACAGACATTTTCCTTATCAAGTTTGTGTGTGTGTGTCAGAGTTCAGTCGGCGCTGGTGTGTGTTGAACGACGGCAACTTTAGCTACTACGAAAGTGACAAAAACGCTACACCCAACGGAGGTCTGAAGATGAGGGAGATCGTCTGTCTGGCTGTCAACCCTGCTGAGACTCATGGGTAATCTGACGTCTTATTATTATTTTTATTATTATTTATTTTGTTACTATTATTATTTATTAATATTATTTATTATTGTTTATTATCATTGTTTATTATTAATATTACTGTTATTATTATTAATAATAATTATTAATATTGTTTACTATTATTATTATTGTTTATTATATTATTATTATTATTATTATTATTATTATTATTAATATTATGGTTATTGTTTATGAAGATAATGATGATGATGATGATGATGATGACGACAAATATGGTGATGATTATTAATATAATTATTTTTTTATTGTTATTATAAGTACTATTATTGTTAATTATTATTGTTATTATTTATTATTATTATCGTTATTATTTATTGTTATTGTTATTTATTGTTATTAATAATATTTGTTATAATAATAATAATAATAATTATTATTATTAGTAGTAGTAGTAGTAGCATTAGTATTATTATTACTATTATTATTATTATTTATGATGATTATTATTATTATTAATATTATTTATTATAATTGTTGTTGTTATTT